GTTCAAGACGACTGGATCTGGGTTAGATCAGATGAGAAAAGATATTTTTACAGCATAAAATTTACCTCAACCCCTCAACCAGAATCAAAGGTTTGAACAAAAAATTGACTTCAATTCCATTACTGAGCGATAGATAAAAAAGAAAATTTTGATCTGCATATCAGAAAGTAACCCAATTAACACATTCTAACTCCCAGAAATACAATTTCGCGACAGACGAAAACTCTAGAAACGAACTCCAGAAATTATTTTTTTAAGAAAAAGGTCTCAATATGGATATTCTGAACATTTCAACTCAAACTCAATGTCATCTGTTCTTCTGTTAAATTTGCCCAGTGTTTGTTAATATTCATGTATTATAAGAAAAGAGCACCGAGATGACAGTGGGCGCAATAGTTCAACAGTTATCAGTAAGAAGGGTGGAGAGGAGAAGAGAGGACAAATGTTCCACCGGATGTCCAGGAGCAACTCCTCCATCGGAGCCTCCTTAGATCTCCTCACAGCTCAGCAGGAAGTCGCAGGACAGAAGCAGGTCGGCACTATTTACAAGCCGTTTGAAAATAATTGCAAAATATACTTTTAAATCTAACGTAGTAGAAGGATAGCAATTGGTAGGTCCCAGTTAAAAGCAAATTTTAAACTAATTCATGGGGAAGCTAACAAACATAAAAGCGTTTGGATCTCAAAACTTTAGATACATAAATAACTCAAAGTGTGGTCTTTTTGGTTGGGTTGAGATTGGGTAGCTTTTAAGTTTCATTTCAAGAGTGGGTGGTATCACCGCAATAATATAAAACAGGTGAACAAGGAGGAGGCTAGGCGTCTGAAGAAATTGTCTCTCAAATTGGAACAGGAGAGGAAACTCATCAACCAACACAGAGCTAATCTAGAGACAGACAAAGAGGTGAGTCAGTTCTTGATGAACAAACGCAGTTCGAAACTTTTAACAGTGTGAACAGAATCTTAATCAATAAAATTTTTGCCACGAAATAGTCACTCTGAAAGAATTAGGCTCTCTAAATGGGATGCAAAGTATAGGAAAGTTGCAAGATGATTAAATTTCACAAAACCTGATAGTAACTAAATTCACATTACGAGGCCAAACTGAGCACTGGATATGCAAATTCAAAAAAGTTCAAAAGAGATCATTCAGACACGAGAAAATCTTTTTTCGGACAAAACTACACAGAGGTAGGGACGAGACAGCAATCCTCATAATAATAGTAATAAATTCATTCCAGCAAATGTTCACATTGATCAAAATACTTTCTATAAAAGACCACTTGAAAGAACCCAATCTGGGGAACCGTCATTAGACAAATTCTGCCTGTTTTTGGACGTCTCTGAGCTCAAAAAAGAACAGGTTTTAACTGGGATGGTGGTGCAATGTATTAAAATTATTAACTCTTAATTTCCTATTAATGTCGTCTTTAGAAACTTATGGAGAAAATTGTTAATTTCATTAATTGTCTTTTTGCTTATCAATCCAAAAAAGCCGGAAAAAGTTTGTGAGGCAGTTATAGAGTTTTCAAGTTCTAAAAACAACTGAAAACTTATGGTGTTGTTTAGAATTGATCACTAATTCCTTTATTCGTTTATGATTATGATGTAATTTGAATAGTTCATCAGATATGATTAGTTTGCTGAGAGTCACAGATTCACAATCATCGCAAATAGTTTTACAGAGAAGTTTTAAAATGAACTTTTTTTATATTATACATTTTCATTTATTCGTGCAACAAATATACCGGTTCGAAGTTTTTCTTGAAATTTAAGACTCTAGTTATTCTGTTAAAAATGAGATCAATCTTGTCAAAGTTTGATTTGGAAGTCGACCCGTATATTAACACGCCATGTTCAATAACAACTTTAACGTATGCTTGGTAAAACTGGTTCAGTTGCAGTCTATTTAAAATCTTACGCAGTTGATAAACAATTCCACAGTTTTTACTTAGCAGCAAATATCACAGCGTTTAATTTAATTCTACACGTGGTGATAAAAATTATAGAGCAATTAACGCTGTGATAATTGACGCTTTAAATATCAAAAATTTAAACGCCGTGTTTTATTGAGATACAAACCCAGATATTTGAAAACAAAATTTCGCTCATTGGCTTCCTTGTTCATTTTAATCAAATACTTGTTTTTTCATTCCGTTTTGTGAACCTAATTGTTTTAGTTTTATCTAATTTCAAAGTCAGTTTGCTTTTGTCCAAACATTCCTTTGCTTTTGTCAATGTATTATCAAGGTTTTCAATCAGTATTGATTTTTCAGTCCGAGTTTTGATGGCTGTATAATTGGCATAGAGATAGACACTTGTGTTTGCATTGATTTTTGGTATATCATTAATAAACAGAATGAAAAGTAGAGGTTTGTTGAGGCTTGGAAACTGTTTTCCTCTAGATCTTCAGCAATTAGTTTATAATTTTAATTATTAATACCTCAACTTTCTGACTTAAGTTTGATTCTTCTATTGCATCTTAAGCTAAGAACAACAACCTTTTGACGTAAATTGAAAGATAAATTAAAAAATCATTATTCGTGAACTTATAGAGAAATATTAGTATTTTAAATTGAACAAATTTTAGTGAAAAAACTGAGAAAACAATTTTTCTTGTTAATCTATGTAGAAATGATTTTTTCAGATTCCTGATATGGGAAAAATTTTTGTTCCAAATACGACAACAGTCTTTATTGTTTTATACATTTAATCGAGCTTAGAGAAGCAATGATTTATAACGAGGCCTTTCTGAGACTACGCGAGATTTTCGCGAAAAAAAAACTTAACTTTTTTATCCTGGAAAAAAACATGTCAAAAAACGACGCGCAAGTTTTATAGACATAGATGGAATCAAGTATTGTCATCTAAATCATTTTGCCAGTTTAGTACGACAGATGACACCGCTTAGCATGCTCGAGTTCAATTTGAATGATACTCTAAGCCGGAATAAATTTCCGCTCACGTTTTAAAAGCACGAAATATTTCGCGCGTTTTTTCTCCTAAGTTGGTCAAATTGGTAATCTTTAAACCCCTATAACTTGCCAATTACCCCGTTGGATCACAGGTAAATGTTTTTTGTTTTAAGTTTGAGATCCGGACTACAAAAATTTTGTCGAATTTTGTCTGGAGAATTTGGTTTGGAGAATCAACCGACCCGAGCACAATTATTCTCTCCTTCTCTTCGAAATCAGAACAATAAATATTGACATGCCTCTTGTAGTTGATCAAACAAATCAATATAGAAGACACTTATGCAAAAGTGGCAAAAAATTTGTTAAAATTCAAACCGACAAAGAAAAATAACGTTTCCAACTCAAAACAGTTGCATATTTTAGATATATATACCCACTCGGGCTAAAGAAAAAATTTTATGCAAAAAAAATTGTAGCCTAGATTCCCATTGATATTTATTGTTTTGTCCTGACAAAACAGTTGATAGTGCCAAGCAAAAGCCTGATATTGTTAAGTTACCCATCGATACCATTGACAATTACCCAAGGTACATTTCTGACAGACTTTTTCTAAGACTTGACAGGTCATACCAAATAACAGAAGTGACGACAAAAATTTTTTTGCACATTTTAGAGCATTGTGTTGGTACCGTTTTTTTAATAATTAAAAAAATAAATTAATTGAAGCAGAATGTATCTTTTAGTATGTTTTTGCATCGCTTACTGAAAACTTATTGCCTCATCCTTTTTTAATGAAACGCAAGAGTTTCAAAAACCTGACTTTGTAGCGTTTTTAACACTGCCCTACTGTGAAAATTTGATTTGTTTGGACAACGAAGCTTTGTTCTACGGGATTGTTCATAGATTCAAAATTTAATTGTATATATATCAAAACAAAACACTGAAACTGTAAATTTTTCTGAAGCTTTGACAGTCAAATTATGTCTTTAGAGAGTAAATTTCAATCTGACTGCATTTGTGAGACAAGTTTTTTTACAGTCTGGTTTTTTTTGACTAGTTACTTTTGCAAAGCTTGTTCTAGACATTAACATTTTTCGTCTGTTGCTAGCATTCCTTTGACACTGACTTTCGACAATTTTACGATCTATCGTCAATGAGACGTTTAAACGTTACCTCGATAAAGAGCTAAACAATTTCAATCATAACTTTCTGGACAAAAAATTTCCAAGATAATTACAGTTAATGAATAAAATTTTCAGCAGTCAAACGGAAATAACACTTTAGATTTTGGATTTTGTTTCGACCATTGAAAACGGAAAGGAGATTTGTACTCGTGTTTTTTTTTTAGTTTTTTCTTTTTCTTTGGAATATCAGATGCGCAAAATAGAGTATAAGCCAGTGTCGGGAAACAGTCTGGTTCTATAGAAAGAGTGCAATGAAGCTGATCCAATAAATTAATTTAATCAAGTTAATTTCAAAGTAAAATTTTTTGATTATCTTTACAAAATCATTAAAGAATTTCAAAAAATCTTGAAGAATCTGGAAAATCTTTTCAAGATTTTCTGAGAATATCTCAAATTCACCTGATGAACTGCAGGGCCATAATACAGATTTCATTTCATGATTTTTGGACTGTTTAAATTCTTATAAAATACCAAAATACTTCAAGAGATTTTTTGCTATTTTTAATGAAATTCAATGCTTTTCCAAATCTTACTAAGATGTTCAAGACGACTGGATCTGGGTTAGATCAGATGAGAAAAAATATTTTTACAGCATAAAATTTACCTCAACCCCTCAACCAGAATCAAAGGTTTGAACAAAAAATTGACTTCAATTCCATTACTGAGCGAGAGATAAAAAAGAAAATTTTGATCTGCATATCAGAAAGTAACCCAATTAACACATTCTAACTCCCAGAAATACAATTTCGCGACAGACGAAAACTCTAAAACGAACTCCAGAAATTATTTTTTTAAGAAAAAGGTCTCAATTTGGATATTCTGAACATTTCAACTCAAACTCAATGACATCTGTTCTTCTGTTAAATTTGCCCAGTGTTTGTTAATATTCATGTATTATCAGAAAAGAGCACCGAGATGACAGTGGGCGCAATAGTTCAACAGCTATCAGTAAGAAGGGTGGAGAGGAGAAGAGAGGAAAAGGGTTCCACCGGATGTCCAGGAGCAACTCCTCCATCGGAGCCTCCTTAGATCTCCTCACAGCTCAGCAGGAAGTCGCAGGACAGAAGCAGGTCGGCAGTATTTACAAGCCGTTTGAAAATAATTGCAAAATATATTTTTAAATCTAACGTAGTAGAAGGATAGCAAATGGTAGGTCCCAGTTAAAAGCAAATCTTAAACTAATTCATGGGGGAAGCTAACAAACATAAAAGCGTTTGGATCTCAAGCGTTTGGATACATAAATTACTAAAAGACAACGATTGGTAGAAATTGTGGTCTTTCTGTTATTGGCTTACCAATCTGAGTAAACTTCGTTTCAAGAGTGATATCACTGCAATAATATAAAACAGGTGAACAAGGAGGAGGCTAGGCGTCTGAAGCAATTGTCTTTCAAGTTGGAACAGGAGAGGAAACTCATCAACCAACACAGAGCTAATCTAGAGAAAGACAAGGAGGTGAGTCAGTTCTTGATGAACAAATGCTATTCGAAACTTTTAACAATGTGAACAGAATCTTAATCAATAAAGTCTTCGCCACCAAATAACCACTCTGAAAGAACTAGGCTCTCTAAATGGGATGCAAAGTATAGGAAAGTTGCAAGATGATTAAATTTCACAAAACCTGATAGTAACTAAATTCACATTACGAGGCCAAACTGAGCACTGGATATGCAAATTCAAAAAAGTTCAAAAGAGATTATTCAGACACGAGAAAATCTTTTTTCGGACAAAACTACACAGAGGTAGGGACGAGACAGCAATCCTCAAAATAATAGTAATAAATTGTTTCCAGCATATGTTCACATTGATCAAAATACTTTCTACAAAAGACCACTTGAAAGAACCCAATCTGGGGAACCGTCATTAGACAAATTCTGCCTGTTTTTGGACGTCTCTGAGCTCAAAAAAGAACAAGTTTTAACTGGGATGGTGGTGCAATGTATTAAAACTATTAACTCTCAATTTCCTATTAATGTCGTCTTTAGAAACTTATGGAGAAAATTGTTAATTTCATTAATTGTATTTTTGCTAATCAATCTTAAAAAGCCGGAAAAAGTTTGTGAGGCAGTTATAGAGTTTTCAAGTTCTAAAAACAACTGAAAACTTATGGTGTTGTTTAGAATTGATCACTAAATCCTTTATTCGTTTATGATTATGATGTAATTTGAATAGTTCATCAGATATGATTAGTTTGCTGAGAGTCACAGATTCACAATCATCGCAAATAGTTTTACAGAGAAGTTTTAAAATGAACTTTTTTTATATTATATATTTTCATTTATTCGTGCAACAAATATACCGGTTCGAAGTTTTTCTTGAAATTTAAGACTCTAGTTATTCTGTTAAAAATGAGATCAATCTTGTCAAAGTTTGATTTGGAAGTCGACCCGTATATTAACACGCCATGTTCAATAACAACTTTAACGTATGCTTGGTAAAACTGGTTCAGTTGCAGTCTATTTAAAATCTTACGCAGTTGATAAACAATTCCACAGTTTTTACTTAGCAGCAAATATCACAGCGTTTAATTTAATTCTACACGTGGTGATAAAAATTACAGAGCAATTAACGCTGTGATAATTGACGCTTTAAATATCAAAAATTTAAACGCCGTGTTTTATTGAGATACAAACCCAGATATTTGAAAACAAAATTTCGCTCATTGGCTTCCTTGTTCATTTTAATCAAATACTTGTTTTTTCATTCCGTTTTGTGAACCTAATTGTTTTAGTTTTATCTAATTTCAAAGTCAGTTCGCTTTTGTCCAAACATTCCTTTGCTTTTGTCAATGTATTATCAAGGTTTTCAATCAGTATTGATTTTTCAGTCCGAGTTTTGATGGCTGTATAATTGGCATAGAGATAGACACTTGTGTTTGCATTGAATTTTGGTATATCATTAATAAACAGAATGAAAAGTAGAGGTTTGTTGAGGCTTGAAAACTGTTTTCCTCTAGATCTTCAGCAATTAGTTTATAATTTTAATTATTAATACCTCAACTTTTTGACTTAAGTTTGATTCTTCTATTGCATCTTAAGCTAAGAACAACAACCTTTTGACGTAAATTGAAAGATAATTTAAAAAATCATTATTCGTGAACTTATAGAAAAATATTAGTATTTTAAATTGAACAAATTTTAGTGAAAAAACTGAGAAAACAATTTTTCTTGTTAATCTATGTAGAAATGATTTTTTCAGATTCCTGATATGGGAAAAATTTGTGTTCCAAATACGACAACAGTCTTTATTGTTTTATACATTTAATCGAGCTTAGAGAAGCAATGATTTATAACGAGGCCTTTCTGAGACTACGCGAGATTTTCGCGAAAAAAACTTAACTTTTTTATCCTGGAAAAAAACATGTCAAAAAACGACGCGCAAGTTTTATAGGTATAGATGGAATCAAGTATTGTCATCTAAATCATTTTGCCAGTTTAGTACGACAGATGAGACCAAATGGCATGCTCGAGTTCAATTTGAATGATATTCTAAGCCGTACTAAATTTTCGCTCACGTTTTAAAAGCACGAAATATTTCGCGCGTTTTTTTTCCTAAGTTGGTTAAATTGGTAATCTTTAAACTCCTATAACTTCACAATTACCCCGTTGGATCACAGGTAAATGTTTTTGTTTTAAGTTTGAGATCCGGACTACAAAAAATTTGTCGAATTTTGTTTGGAAAATTTGATTCGGAGAATCAACCGACCCGAGCACAATTATTCTCTCACTCTCTTCGAAATCAGAACAATAAATATTGACATGCCTTTTGTAGTTGCTCAAACAAATCAATATAGAAGACACTTATGCAAAAGTGGCAAAAATATTGTTAAAACTCAAACCGACAAAGAAAAATAACGTTTCCAACTCAAAACAGTTGCATATTTTAGATAAAAATACACAGTCGGGCTTAGGAAAAAATTTTATGCAGAAAAATTTGTAGCCTAGATTCCCATTGATATTTATTGTTTTGTCCTGACAAAACAGTTGATAGTGCCGAGCAAAAGCATGATATTGTTAAGTTACCCAACGATACCATTGACAATTACCCAAGGTACATTTCTGACAGACTTTTTCTAAGACTTGACAGGTCATACCAAATAACTGAAGTGACGACAAAATTTTTTTTGCACAATTTAGAGCATAGTGTTGGTAGCGTTTTTTTAATAATTAAAAAAATAAATTAATTGAAGCAGAATGTATCTTTTAGTATGTTTTTGCATCGCTTGCTGAAAAATAAATTGCCTCATCCTTTTTTAATGAAACGCAGGAGTTTCAAAAACCAAGCTTTGTAGTGTTTTTAACACTGCCTTACTGTGAAAATTTGATTCGTATGGACAACGAAGCTTTATTCTACGGGATTTTTCATATATTCAAAATTTAATTGTATATATGCCAAAACAAAACACTGAAACTGTAAGTTTTTCTGAAGCTTTGACAGTCAAAATAGGTCTTTAGAGAGTAAATTTCAATCTGACTGCATTTGTGGGACAAGTGTTTTTACAGTCTGGACTTTTTTGACTAGTTACTTTTGCAAAGCTTGTTCTAGACATTATCATTTTTCGTCTGCTGCTAGCATTCTTTTGACACTAACTTTCGACAATTTTACGATCTATCGTCAATGAGTCGTTTCAAAGTAACTTTGATAAAGAGCTAAACAATTTCAATCATAACTTTCTGGACAAAAATTTCCAAGAAAATTACAGTTATTCAAAAAAATTTTCAGCAGTCAAACGGAAATAACACTTTAGATTTTGGATTTTGTTCCGACCATTGAAAACGGGCAGGAGATTTGTACTTGTGTTTTTTTTTAGTTTTTTCTTTTTCGGACAAAACTACACAGAGATAGGGACGAGACAGCAATCCTCATAATAATAGTAATAAATTGTTTCCAGCATAGGTTCACATTTATCAATATAGTTTATATAAAAGACCACTTGAAAGAACTCAATCTGGGGAACCGTCATTAGACAAACTCTGCCTGTTTTCGGACGTCTATTAGCTCAAAAAAGAACAGGTTTTAACTGGGATGGTGGTGCAATGTATTAAAATTATTAACTCTTAATTTCCTATTAATGTCGTCTCTAGAAACTTATGGAGAAAATTGTTAATTTCATTACTTGTCTTATTGCTAATCAATCCAAAAAAGCCGGAAAAAGTTTGTGAGACAGTTATAGAGTTTTCAAATTCTAAAAACAACTGAAAACTTATGGTGTTGTTTAATGTTGATCACTAATTTCTTTATTCGTTTATGATTATGATGTAATTTGAATAGTTCATCAGATTTGATTAGTTTGCTGAGAGTCACAGATTCACATTCACCGCAAATAGTTTTACAGAGAAGTTTTAAAATGAACTTTTTTTGTGTTATATATTTTCATTTATTCGCGCAACAAATATACCGGTTCGAATTTTTTCTTGAAATTTAAGACTCTAGTTATTCTGTTAACAATGAGATCAATCTTGTCAAAGGTTGATTTGGAAGTCGACCCGTATATTAACACGCCATGTTCAATAACAACTTTAACGTATGCTTGGTAGAACTGGTTCAGTTGCGGTCTGTTTAAAATCTTACGCAGTTGATAAACAATTCCACAGTTTTTACTTAGCGTCAAATATCACAGCGTTTAGTTTATTTCTACACGTGGTGATAAAAATTACAGAGCAATCAACGCTTAGATAATTGACGCTTTAAATATCAAAAATTTAAACGCTGTTTTCTATTGAGATACAAACCCAGATATTTGAAAACAAAATTTTGCTCATTGGCTTCCTCGTTGATTTTAATCAAATACTTGTTTTTTTCATTCCGTTTTGTGAACCTAATTGTTTTAGTTTTATCTAATTTCAAAGTCAGTTTGCTTTTTTCCAAACATTCCTTTGCTTTTGTTAATGTATTATCAAGGTTTTCAATCAGTATTGATTTTTCAGTCCGAGTTTGATGACTGTATAATTGGCATAGAGATAGACACTTGTGTTTGCATTGAATTTTGGTATATCATTAATAAACAGAATGAAAAGTAGAGGACCTAGAATTGATGCTTATAAACTGTTTCTGTTGATCCTTACAAGTTGTTCTCTGTTGAGGCTTGGAAACTATTTTCCTCTAGATCTTCAGCAATTAGTTTATAGTTTTAATTATTAATACCTCAACTTTCTGACTTAAGTTGGATTCTTCAATTGCATCTTAAGCTAAGAACAACAACCTTTTGACGTAAATTGAAAAATAATTGAAAAAATCATTATTCGTGAACTTATAGAGAAATAATAGTATTCTAAATTGAATAAAATTTAGTGAAAAAACTGAGAAAACAATTTTTCTTGTTTATCTATGTTGAAATGATTTTTTCAGATTCCTGATGTGGGAAAATTTTGTGTTCCAAATACGACAACAGTCTTTATTGTTTTATACATTTAATCGAGCTTAGAGAAGCAATGATTTATAACGAGGCCTTTCTGAGACTACGCGAGATTTTCGCGAAAAAAAAACTTAACTTTTTTATCCTGGAAAAAAAACATGTCAGAAAACGACGCGCAAGTTTTATAGACATAGATGGAATCAAGTATTGTCATCTAAATCATTTTGCCAGTTTAATACGACAGATAAGACCAAATAGCATGCTCGAGTTCAATTTGAATGATATTCTAAGCCGGACTAAATTTCCGCTCACGTTTTAAAAGCACGAAATATTTCGCGCGTTTTTTCTCCTAAGTTGGTCAAAATGGTACTCTTTAAACCCCTATAACTTCCCAATTACGCCGTTGGATCACAGGTAAATGTTTTTGTTTTAAGTTTGAGATCCGGACTACAAAAATTTTGTCAAATTTTGTCTGGAGAATTTGGTTTGGAGAATCAACCGACCCGAGCACAATTATTCTGTCACTCTCTTCGAAATCAGAACAATAAATATTGACATGCCTTTTGTAGTTGCTCAAACAAATCAATATAGAAGACACTTATGCAAAAGTGGCAAAAAATTTGTTAAAATTCAAACCGACAAAGAAAAATAACGTTTCCAACTCAAAACAGTTGCATATTTTAGAATGTACGTTTTAGTATATTTTTGCATCGCTTACTGAAAACTTATTGCGTCATCCTTTTTTAATGAAACGCAAGAGTTTCGAAAACCTGACTTTGTAGCGTTTTTAACACTGCCCTACTGTGAAAATTTGATTCGTTTGGACAACGAAGCTTTACTCTACGGGATTGTTCATAGATTCAAAATTTAATTGTATATATATCAAAACAAAACACTGAAACTGTAAATTTTTCTGAAGCTTTGACAGTCAAATTATGTCTTTAGAGAGTAAATTTCAATCTGACTGCACTTGTGGGACAAGTGTTTTTACAGTCTGGACTTTTTTGACTGGTTACTTTTGCAAAGCTTGTTCTAGACATTAACATTTTTCGTCTGCTGCTAGCATTCTTTTGACACTAACTTTCGACAATTTTACGATCTATCGTCAATGAGACGTTTAAACGTTACCTCGATAAAGAGCTAAACAATTTCACTCATAACTTTCTGGACAAAAAATTTCCAAGTTAATTACAGTTAATGAATAAAATTTTCAGCAGTCAAACGGAAATAACACTTTAGATTTTGGATTTTGTTCCGACCATTGAAAACGGAAAGGAGATTTGTACTCGTGTTTTTTTTTTAGTTTTGTCTTTTTCTTTGGAATATCAGATGCGCAAAATAGAGTATAAGCCAGTGTCGGGAAACAGTCTGGTTCTATCGAAAGAGTGCAATGAAGCTGATCCAATAAATTAATTTAATTAAGTTAATTTCAAAGTAAAATTTTTTGATTATCTTTCGATTAAAATTTTTTGATAAATATTGACGTTGAAATCTGCTAATTAAATATTGCAGTTGCTCAAACAAATCAATATTTAAGATGATTATTTAAAAATGGCAAAAAAATATTATAAATTCAAACCGACAAAGCAAAAAAACCTTTCCAACTCAAAACAGTTGTTATTTTAGAAATAAATACACACTCGGGCTAAAGAAGAAGTTTTAACGTAAAATAAATTGTAGCCTAGATTCCTATTGATATTTATTGTTGTGACCTGACAAAACAGTTGATAGTGCTGAACAAAAATTTGACATTGTTAACTTACCCAACGCCCAACGTTGCCATTGAAAATTACACAAGGGTCACTTCTGACAGACTTTTTCTAAGACTTGACAGGTCATACCAAACAACTAAGGTGACGACAAAATTTTTTTGCACATTTTAAAGCATAGTGTTGGTACCGTTTTTTGATATTTAAAAAAGAATAAATTAATTGAATCAGAATGTATCTTATAATATATTTTTGTGCCGCTTACTGAAAACTTATTGCTTCATCGTTTTTAATGCAACGCAAGAGTTTCAAAAACCTGGCTTTGTAGCGTTTTTAGCTGTGCCTTACTGCAAAAGTTTGATTCATTTGGACAACTGGGACTGTTCTTATAATCAAAATTTAATTGTATACGTATCAAAACAATACACTGAATTGGGAAATTTTTCTGAAGCTTGACAATCAAATTATGTCTTTAGAGAGTAAATTTCAATCTGACTGCATTTGTGGGACAAGTGTTTTCACAGTCTGGGCTTTTTTGACTAGTTACTTTTGCAAAATTTGTTCTAGACATTAACATTTTCGTCTGCTGCTAGCAAACACTCCTTTGACACCAACTATTGACAATATTACGATCTATCGTCAATGAGACGTTTAATTAAAATCTCGATTTCAATCATAAGTTTCTGGACAAAAATTTCCAAGAAAATTACAGTTAATGAAAAAACTTTTCAGCAGTCAAACGGAAATAGCACTTTAGATTTTGGATTTTGTTCCGACCATTGAAAGTGGGAAGGAGATTTGTACTCGTGTGTGTGTTGTAGTTTTTTTCTTTTTCTTTGGAATATCAGATACGCAATATCAGATACCCCAAATCCTGATCTAAATAGGTCGAGTGGTATATCAAAGTTAATTCGCGCCAGTTTCAGTTCGAACGATATGATTTTTTTGACAAGTATCGAAAAAAACTAGTTGAAAATTTTTGAGTTTTGGTTCAACTTCGAGCAAGTAAACGATCTAGTAACATTCGTTATTTGAAAATTTAACCTAAATCTAGGCTTTTAGGCTAGGAAAACATGATTTTGTCCAAAAAAGAAATATTGATTTTTGAAGTTTCATTTAGCGTTTCTGTGGAATTAAGAGCCTTCAAAACAAACTTAAAAATCATTGTGCACAAAGTTAAAAACTTTTGAAAAAAATATTTTGATTTCTTTTCCAATTTTTAGTTGTTATTAGTTTATTAAGAGCAAGTTTTATGCTGTTTCACTTAACTTCTGCACGTTTTTAAAGTTCTTCAATCACACCACGCACCAAAACAACTTTAATTTAAGGAAAACAAAAAACCCTTGTGCATTTTTTTTATGAATATGGTCGGAACATCGTGGGATACTTGCACAGCACCCGGCTATCCTATTTATTGTGCAAGAATTGTTCATAATGGTTTACAATACTAATTGCGCTACTTGGAACTTATTTGATCTTCATAAATAACTTTATTAAAACACTTTCTACACTATAAATTGGGCGTCGAGTTGTTGTTTTTAATGTTTAAAAGCACAATCTTCAATTTCTATCAATATATTTTTTTAATTTTTATGGGTATCTTTGAAAAGTTGGAGTTAATCCATGCATTCTTCAATCCTGTAAAGCAGAAATATCAGAAAACTATACTTTTTGTTCGTTTTCGAGGCATGAAAACAGCTAGATGATATTCAAATAGCGAAGTTGTGAGTGATGGTTTTGAATATGGAATATGAAAGCTTACATCATTTTATAACATGCTATCACTTGATCATTACGAGCCCGAACTGTTCACAGAATAGGAAAACAATTTAGTATGTGTAAGTCTTTGGAATCCAAAGACAAGTCTTTAAACACGATAAAATTTTGTCGGAACGATGAAAGAAAACTAAAAAAAAGAAGTTCAAAGAGAGCATCCTTGTTGCGGAATCTGAAATCCTCAGTCTGGCCTCTCATTGATTTTTTTTGTGGTTGAACGACCACGTCACAAAAAATGACCTGAAGGTACTAACTAGGCTGTTCGGCGGAGTCTTCAACAACTCAACTTACAAATTTGTAAAATAGTAAACTTGTAAATTTCAAGTTAGAATGAAACTAAAGTTTTTAAACGCTCTGGATTTCCATATAAGAGTTGTTAGAACACTCTGGAAATGGCCCGATGGCGAAGTATCGACAAGTACTGGATGAAGCAGTGAAGTCAACTAATAGAGGATTTAAAACGAGTAACCATGCAGTTGCAACTTATGAACAAACTTTGTTTACGATGTGGTAAATTAATACATTTTCTCTGTAATTAACTTTTTTCAACAATCCTTTTCAAACGCTGCGTTTGAGTTAAAAATTTATTGTTTTCTGAATAAGAAAACGTTCAGAATCTTAAACATCCGCAAAATTGGCCGCCAAAAATTGTTCTGAAACTTACCATCTTACCAACTCAAACTCTGAAACCTATAACCAATCTTAATACGTTGGAAAATCTATTTCAACGTAATATACCAATGATATTTATCAATTAGGTAATGCGCGCCGAAATTTTTGCGAAAAAAAAACATTCCCACACAAAATCCAAAATACCGTTTTTTTACCTTTCTCTTACCATCACACTGAAACCTTACCAATTCTTTTCCCCATCTTAATACATTGGGATATTTTTCCCTATGTTATTACATAGAGTGCTGACCGGATACTCTATAGCCTTTGTTAAAACATGAAGGTCAGCGACACCCCCCCCCCCCCCCCCCCCCCCACCCGGCGATTTCTACCCGACACATACTACCATTGCGAGAAAAATTAAAATTTTGAACAGTTCATTTCGACTGAAGTACATATAATCATGATCTTGACTGAAACAGCTTCATATCATGCGCATTCACTACCACTCATTGGCAATTCACAAAAGTGAGCATTTTGGTACAAACTTAATGATTGCAAGTAGTCCGCGTGTACATCTATGTGCACCAAAAATTGGGCGGTCGGTTCACTCAGATTTCGTATCACTTCGTGTTTTTATATTGAACTCGACGCGATTTCTACTCGACATATACTACTCACAATATAGCTCCGAACGATTCAGTACTATTCAAAAAAAACTAAAATATTTTGAAATTATCGTTGGATAAGAATGGAGTTTTTGCTTTTACTGATAGTTAACTAGTACTGAAAGGGTTCTGTTATATGTTTCTGCAAGAACCAGCCATGTCTGAAATTGAAACCTTAAAATCAAAGGCACTGTACAGCAACGACAGAGATTCGAAATTTACACTCAAAGTGAAGAGCATTGGTCTAAATTGGTTTCTGAATCCGTTTTGAAGGGCTGTAAAAAACTTAAGATGCGTTAATTAAGCAGATTTGCTAAACTCAATAAACTGATCGACCTGAAAACTATTTTGAGTCGACCACACCGCATTATAATATAAGTATGAAACTTAAATTGTTTTCTGTATTTAATTTTAAAATAACAAGTTACTACGTACGTGCTACCTTCGTAACAAAAGCATTTAACTTTTATATTGATGTTTTACATAACAAATAACATTTGACAACGTTTTATTCTGCTTCAAAATGAGCAATCGAGAGAACAAAACAGCTCGTGACTCGAAGGATGCGACAAAAACTGGGGCTGGCACTTATGATGAGCACGAGAGACCAATTAGGTCACGTGATTCCAGTAGCCGAGAAGCTGGAGGTGGAACGACTGCAAGGTGAAAACGCAAAGTTTTGAAATCTTTCAATAACTTTCTTTTTATAGGTCTTCAACCCATTTCAGGTCCATAAACTTACAAAAGAACTTTAGGCTATCAAAATTTTGTCCTTGCAGAAATATGAGCATTGAAATTAATAAATCGCGAGTTTTTAAGAAATCGTGATGGACTTGAAATTTATACTTTTTTGATGGCCATCGTAAGTATCATTTTATGGCATAGATGAAACTGATAATGGTGCTAGCTAGACAAAATAGAGTATAAGCCAGTGTCGTGAAACAATCTGGTTCCATCCAAAGATTGTAATGAAGCTGATCCAATAAATTAATTTAATTAAGTTAATTTCAAAAAAAAATATTTTACAAAAGCATTTAAGAATTTCAAAAAATCTTGAAGAATCTGGAAGATCTTTTCAAGATTTTCTGAGAATATCTCAAATTCACCTGATGAGCTGCAGAGGCATCATACAGATTTCCTGTCATGATTTTTGGACTGTTTAAATTCTTATAAAATACCAAAACATTTTAAGAGATTCTTTGATATTTTTGATAAAAGTTCAATGTTTTTCAAGATCTTACTAAGATATTCAAGACGACTGGACCTGAGTTAGATCAGATGAAAAAAGACATTTTTACAGCATAAAATTTACCTCAACCCCTCAACCAGAAACAATTGTTTGAACAAAAAATTGACTTCAATTCCATTACTGAGCGATTGATAAAAAAGAAAATTTTGATCTGCATATCAGAAAGTAACCCAATTAACACACTCTAACTCCCAGAAATACAATTTCGCGACAGACGAAAACTCTAGAAACGAACTCTAGAAAATATTTTTTTAAGAAAAAGGTCTCAATTTGGATATTCTGAACATTTCAACTCAAACTCAATGACATCTGTTCTTCTGTTAAATTTGCCCAGTGTTTGTTAATATTCATGTATTATCAGAAAAGAGCACCGAGATGACAGTGGGCGCAATAGTTCAACAGCTATCAGTAAGAAGGGTGGAGAGGAGAAGAGAGGACAAGGGTTCCACCGGATGTCCAGGAGCAACTCCTCCATCGGAGCCTCCTTAGATCTCCTCACAGCTCAGCAGGAAGTCGCAGGACAGAAGCAGGTCGGCAGTATTTACAAGCCGTTTGAAAATAATTGCAAAATATACTTTTAAATCTAACGTAGTAGAAGGATAGCAAATGGTAGGTCCCAGTTAAAAGCAAATTTTAAACTAATTCATGGGGAAGCTAACAAACATAAAAGCGTTTGGATCTCAAAACTTTAGATACATAAATAACTACAAGACAACGATTGATAGAAATTGTGGTCTTTCTGTTATTGGCTTACCAATCTGAGTAAACTTCGTTTCAAGAGTGATATCACTGCAATAATATAAAACAGGTGAACAAGGAGGAGGCTAGGCGTCTGAAGCAATTGTCTCTCAAATTGGAACAGGAGAGGAAACTCATCAACCAACACAGAGCTAATCTAGAGAAAGACAAGGAGGTGAGTCAGTTCTTGATGAATAAACGCTATTCGAAGTTTTAACAATGTGAACAGAATCTTAATCAATAAAGTCTTCGCCACCAAATAGCCACTCTGAAAGAAATAGGCTCTCTAAATGGGATGCAAAGTATAGGAAAGTTGCAAGATGATTGAAGTTTAACAAAACCTGATAGTAACTAAATTCACATTACGAGTCCAAACTGAGCACTGGATAGGCAAATTCAAAAAAGTTCAGAAGAGATCATTCAGACACGAGAAAATCTTTTTTCGGACAAAACTACACAGAGGTAGGGACGAGACAGCAATCCTCATAATAATAGTAAGAAATTGTTTCCAGCATAGGTTCACATTGATCAATATAATTTATATAAAAGACCACTTGAAAGAACCCAATCTGGGGAACCGTCATTAGACAAATTCTGCCTGTTTTCGGACGTCTCTGAGCTCAAAAAAGAACAGGTTTTAACTGGGATGGTGGTGCAATGTATTAAAATTATTAACTCTTAATTTCCTATTAATGTCGTCTCTAGAAACTTATGGAGAAAGTTGTTAATTTCATTACTTGACTTTTTGCTAATCAATCCAAAAAAGCCGGAAAAAGTTTGTGAGACAGTTATAGAGTTTTCAAGTTCTAAAAACAACTGAAAAGTTATGGTGTTGTTTAGAGTTGATCACTAATTTCTTTATTCGTTTATGATTATGATGTAATTTGAATAGTTCATCAGATATGATTAGTTTGCTGAGAGTCACAGATTCACATTCACCGCAAATAGTTTTACAGAGAAGTTTTGAAATGAACTTTTTTAGATTATATATTTTCATTTATTCGCGCAACAAATATACCGGTTCGAATTTTTTCTTGAAATTTAAGACTCTAGTTATTCTATTAATAATGAGATCAATCTTGTCAAAGTTTGATTTGGAAGTCGACCCGTATATTAACACGCCATGTTCAATAAAAACTTTCACGTATGCTTGGTAAAACTGGTTCAGTTGCGGTCTGTTTAAAATCTTACGCAGTTGATAAACAATTCCACAGTTTTTAGTTAGCGTCAAATATCACAGCGTTCAATTTAATTCTACACGTGGTGATAAAAACTACAGAGAAATCAACGCTGTGATAATTGACGCTTTAAATATCAACAATTTAAACGCTGTTTTTTATTGAGATACAAACCCAGATATTTGAAAACAAAATTTTGCTCATTGGCTTCCTTGTTCATTTTAATCAAATACTTATAAATACCTAATTGTTTTAATTTTATCTAATTTTAAAGTCAGTTCGCTTTTGTCCGAACATTACTTTGCTTTTGTCAATGTGTTATCAAGATTTTCAATCAGTATTGAATTTTCAGTTGAGTTTTGATGGCTGTATAATTGGCATAGAGATAGACACTTGTGTTTGCATTGAATTTTGGTATATCATTAATAAACAGAATGAAAAGTAGAGGTCCTAGAATTGATGCTTTTAAACTGTTTTTGTTGATCCTTACAAATTGTTCTCTGTTGATGCTTGGAAACCGTTTTCCTCTAGATCTTCAGCAATTAGTTTATAGTTTTAATTATTAAAACCTCAACTTTCTGACTTAAGTTGGATTCTTCAATTGCATCTTAAGCTAAGAACAACCACCTTTTGACGTAAATTGAAAGATAAATGAAAAAATCATTATTCGTGATCTTATAGAGAAATAATAGTATTTTAAATTGAATAAAATTTAGTGAAAAAACTGAGATAACAATTTTTCTTGTTTATCAATGTAGAAATGATTCTTTCAGATTCCTGATGTGGGAAAATTTTGTGTTCCAAATACGACAACAGTCTTTATTGTTTTATACATTTAATCGAGCTTCGAGAAGCAATGATTTATGACGAGGCCTTTCTGAGACTACGCGAGATTTTTGCGAAAAAAACTTATTTTTTTTATCCTGGAAAAAAAACATGTCAGAAAACGACGCGCAAGTTTTATAGACATAGATGGAATTAAGTATTGTCTTCTAAATCATTTTGCCAGTTTAGTACGACAGATGAGACCAAATAGCATGCTCGAGTTCAATTTGAATGATATTCTAAGCCGGACTAAATTTCCGCTCACGTTTTAAAAGCACAAAATATTTCTTGCGTTTTTTCTCCTAAGTTGGTCAAAATGGTAATCTTTAAACCCCTATAACTTCACAATTACCCCGTTGGATCACAGGTAAATGTTTTTGTTTTAAGTTTGAGATCCGGACTACAAAAATTTCGTCGAATTTTGTCTGGAGAATTTGGTTTGGAGAATCAACCGACCCGAGCACAATTATTCTGTCACTCTCTTCGAAATCAAAAAAATAAATATTGACATGCCTTTTGTAGTTGCTCAAAAAAATCAATATAGAAGACACTTATGCAAAAGTGGCAAAAAAATTGTTAAAATTCAAACCGTCAAAGAAAAATAACGTTTCCAACTCAAAACAGTTGCATATTCCCATTGATATTTATTGTTTTGTCCTGAAAAAACAGTTGGTAGTGCCGAGCAAAAACTTGATTTTGTTAAGTTACCCAACGATATCATTGACAATTACCCAAGGTACATTTCTGACAGACTTTTTCTAAGACTTGACAGGTCATACCAAATAACTGAAGTGACGACAAAAATTTTTTTGCACACTTTAGAGCATAGTATTGGTACCGTTTTTTTATATTTAAAAAAACAAATTAATTGAAGCAGAATATATCTTTTAATTTATTTTTGCATCGCTTACTGAAAACTTATTGCCTCATCCTTTTTTAATGAAACGCATGAGTTTCGAAAACCTGGCTTTGTAGCATTTTTAACACTGCCTTACTGTGAAAATTTGATTCGTTTGGACAACGAAGCTATCTTCTTTGGGATTGTTCATATTTTCAAAATTTAATTGTATATATATCAAAACAAAACACTGAAACTGTAAATTTTTTTGAAGCTTTGACAGTCAAATTATGTCTTTAGAGAGTAAATTTCAATCTGACTGCATTTGTGGGGCAAGTGTTTTTACAGTCTGGATTTTTTTGACTAATTACTTTTGCAAAGCTTGTTCTAGACATTAACAATTTTTGTCTGCTGCTAGCATTCCTTTGACAATAACTTTCGACAATTTTACGATCTATCGTCAATGAGACGTTTAAACGTAACCTCGATAAAGAGCTAAACAATTTCAATCATATCTTTCTGGACAAAAATTTCCAAGAAAATTACAGTTAATGAATAAAATTTTCAGAAGTCAAACGGAAATAACACTTTAGATTTTGGATTTTGTTCCGACCATTGAAAACGGGAAGGAGATTTGTACTCGTGTTTTTTTTAGTTTTTCCTTTTTCTTTGGAATATCAGATGCGCAATATCAGATACCACAAATTCTGATCTAAATAGGTTGAGTGGTGTATCAAACTGAATTTGCTTTAATTTTAATTCGAACGATTAGATTTTTTTTAAAAGTGTCGAAAAATTTTTGAGTTTTGGTTCAACTTCGAGCGAGCAAACGATCGAGTAACATTCGTTATTTGAAAGTTTAACCTAAATCTAGGCTTTTAGGCTAGAAAAATATGATTTTGTCCAAAAAAACTGATTTTTAAAGTTTCATTTAGCGCTTCTGTGGAATTAAAAGTCTTCAAAATAAACTTAAAAATCATTGAGCACAAAGTTAAAAATTTTTGAAAATGAAACATTTTGATTTTTTTTTACAATTTTTAGTTGTCATTAGTTTATTTAGAGCAAGTTTTATGCCGTTTCACTAAATTTCTGCACGTTTTAATAGTTCTTCAATCGCACCACGGACCAAAAACAACTTTAATTTAAGGAAAACAAAAAACCCTTGTGCATTTTTCTAATGAATATGGTCGCAACATCATGGGATACTTGCACAGCACCCGGCTATCCTATTTACTTGTGCAAGAATTGTTCATAATGGTTTACAATACTAATTGCGCTACTTGAAATTTATTTGATCTTCGTAAATAACTTTATTAAAACACTCGCTACACTATAAATTAGGCGTCGAGTTGTTGTTTTTAATGTTTAAAAGCACAATCTTCATTTTCTATCAATATTTTTTAAAATTATTATGGGTATCTTTGAAAAGTTTGAGTTAATCCATGCAATCTTCAATCCTGTAAAGCAGAAATATCAGAAAACTTTTTTTTGTTCGTTTTCGAGGCATGAAAACAGCTAAATGATTTCAAATTGCGAAGTTGTGAGTGATGGATTTGAATATGGAATATGAAAGCTTACATCATTTTATAACATGCTATCACTTGATCATTGCGAGCCCGAACTGTTCACAGGATAGTAACACAATTTAGTATGTGTAGATCTCTGGAATCCAAAGACAAGTCTTTAAACACGATAAAATTTTGTTGGAACGATGAAAGAAAACGAAAAAAAAAAGAAGTTCAAAGAGAGCGTCCTTGTTGCGGAATCTGAAATCCTCAGTTTGGCCTCTTATTGATTTTTTTTCGTGATTGAACGACCACGTCACAAAAAATGATTTGAAGGTACTAACTAGGCTGTTCGGCGAAGTCTTCAACAACTCAACTTACAAATTTGTAAAATAGAAAACTTGTAAATTTCAAGTTTAGAATGAAACTAAAGTTTTTAAACGTTCTGGATTTCCATATAAGAGTTGTTTCAGCGTCGCGAAAAATAGATATGAGCTTTTCCATTTTTTGAACTGTTTTTTCAAATAAAAATGAGGTAAAAAAATTGACTGAAGCTTGAAAATTATTTTAGCAACAATAAAATTGCAGTTGAACAGGTTTGTATAATTTTTTTCTCATTCTGAAAGCCTTTACTCAATTATTGAGTCGGACATCAATGAGCTGATTGTAACGATAGCTGATCGGATATCGTTTTCAAAATCTTATGTAATTGACTCAAAACACCCGCCTGGAAAAGTTTTTCCAAGGATGACACCTTCAAAACGTTTTTGGCCAAACTCCACAGCCGGAAAAACTAGCTGAAGACTATTTTTTCTACTTTTGTAAGCAG